AGGAAAGTTCACATACATCTTCTTGATCAAGATTATCGTCTGCCATCAAGCATAAATTTGTTGTCTCATCTTCTGGTTCTGTCTCTGATGAATCTGACGCAGAATCCGCCCAAAATGCTTTTTGAAGTATCTTTTTGTCTTTTCTGAATTTGGATTTCTCCTCACTCTTTTCCTTACTTGTGTGCGTCTTATGTGTAGGACAATCAGCTTTCACATGTCCGGGCTTCCTGCATTCATAAAAGACAACATCAGAAGATCCCTTTGAATATTTATTATCCAAACCTTTTCATCAATAACGCTTTTGCTTCTTTCTTAGAAAGCTTTTGAATTGCCTTGTGATTAAGGAAAATTCATCGCTTTCAGACCAGGAAGAGTCAGAGTCTGATTTGTGTGCCTTCAGTGCCACCGTTTTCTCCTTTGTTTTCTCACATGCATCAAGATTTCTTTGATTCACTCCTTGCTTGTAAGAAATGAGTGAGCCAAGTAAGTTGTCAATCGAATACTTATTCAAATCTTTAGATTCAGTGATTTTAGTGATTTTAGCATCAAAAGACGAAGGCAAGCATCTCCAAATCTTGTTCACTTTTTTATAGTTTGAAAGTTCTCTTTCTAAGCATGCAAAGAAGTAACAATCTAAGTAAATCTTGTATACATTTCAGAAATTGATTCATGAGGTTTTATACAAAAATGTTCGTAGTCATGCAAGAGAATATTCAAACGGGATTGTTTAACTTCATTAGTGCCTTCATAAGTGATACACAATTTATCCCAAATTTCTTTACTAGTTTTGCAAGTGGAAACATGCATGTAGTCTTCTGATTTTAAAGCACAGAAAAAGCAATTAAGACATTTTGCATTTAATTGAGCTAAATCTCTATCATCTAAAGTTCATTCAGTAAAAAGAAGTGGAACGTACAGTAATGCCATTTAGTTTACCAGTTAGAGGTGTGTAACCATCCTTAACAAACATCCACATGTGATAATCAGTAGATTGTAAAAATATAGACATGCGAGTTTTCCAAAAATCAAATGGGATATTATCAAACAAAGGTGGTCGGGTAATAGAATACCCTTTCGGTGTATTACGATTCCCAAAGTTAGCCATGGATCAAAATTCAAAAAGTTTTCAAACTTAGTTTTTATGAACCCTACTCTGATACCACTTGAAAGTTTATTAGGGATGTTAAGCCCTATAGAACTCGCCCGAGGCTAACCAAGAGGGGGGTGAATTGATATTTAAAAATTTCTTTAAAAAAGGAAGAACGATTATCACAAACAAAATCACCACAAAAACATGTGCGGAAGAAAATAAATACGGAAGTAGTAAAAATAAGAACACAAGGGTTTATAGTGGTTCGGTCAACTCGACCTACGTCCACTCCCCGGAGGCGCCCTCCGAGTATTGCACTACCAACGTGACTCTTCTTTAGACCCCACAGCTAGGCGGAGAAGCCCTCACAAAAACACCTCCTTTTTTCCACACCCGGCAAGGCAGAGAACCCAACTCCTTTTGCTTCCTCCTGAAACAGGCATAGAACCATGATCACTTGATGAAACTTATCTCTCCCAATCCTTCCAAGGAAAAGAGACTTTAGGGAAGAAGAAGTGGAACAATGCTTGGAGCAACCCTTGTGAATCCCCTCACAAGATCCTCTCTCTCTCTACCTCTCTCTCTCTCCTTTAGGTTTTCTCAGGTCAAGACAGTAGCCACGGATGTTCAAAAATGTTGAACTAAAGCTCTTGGTTGCTCCTGGCCGAAAGGAGCTCATTAATTGCAAGTTGCAGACTATATCGTCTAGGACGATATTGACATCGTCCTGGTCGATCAGTACAAATCCCATGAGATCGGCCTGGGCATCGCCCTGAATGCAAACTGGACAGCTCTTAAATAAAAGAGCTTCAAAGGAGCTCATTAATTGCAAGTTGCCGACTATATCGTCTAGGAAGATATGGACATCGTTCTAGCCGATCAGTACAAATCTCAGCAGATCGGCCAGAGCATCACCTTGAATGTAAACTGGATGATTAAAAAATTGGCTTGATCATCTAAGATGACCTTACGATCGTCCCGGCCGATTAGTTCAAATCAGAGGAGAATTGGTCTGAGAATCGCCCAGAATTTAAGCTGTCCGATCCAGATCATCTAGGAGTAACTAAAGTTTTTTGACTAGATCATCCTAACCGATCCTGCGATCATCCAGGAAGATGTGATCGTATCAATTATTCTTAATTACTTTCATGATTGTTTGATCAATTAAGTTATAATTATGAATATCGTCCAGGCCGATCCAAGATCGTCCTGACTGATTACCAAAAATATAGAATACCTTAATTATTTATAGCAGCAATTTCTTTTTATTTTGAGCCTATCGTCCATGCTGATACAAATATCATCTAGGCTGATTAACTAATGATGGTTTCCTTAATTAAGAACTCCTGATTAGATTTTCTGTTTTAAGCCTGTTAGTCCAGGACGATGTAAATATCGTCCTAGCCGATTTGAGTAAAAACAGAAACTCTAAATTTCTCAAGTGTGTGTGTGTAGGACTAGTTTGCATCAGTCACACCAAAGATTTCAATTGACTCAAGAAGGGAAAAATAAAATTATAGACTGACTCAACCCTAATCTACCCAATCTTGAGCTGATTCTGATTTCCGTCCAATCTTTGAGTCCTAAAAAGTCAGTAGAAAAAAAGGCAGTCTAAGATAAGTACGAGTGTTTTCTAATTATCAAAACATAGTTCATGGACCTGAATTTGCAACAGAGTTTGATGGGAGAGTTATCATACTTTTTGGTGTTTAGTATAAAATAATTGGATAATGGAATCTTTCTTAATCAAACAAAATTCATAAAGGATATTTTGAAGAAGTATGAGATGGATAAATCTAAGCCAATTAATACTCCCATGACTTCTAGTGTTCTATTGGATAAGGACCCAAGTGGTAAGTCTGTTGATCAAAAGAAGTACATAGGCATGATTGGATCTTTAGTTTACCTGACTGCGAGCCGACCTAATATAATGTTTAGTGTTTACCTTTGTGCTAGATTTCAAGCTGACCCTAAGGAATCCCACCTGACTGCAGTTAAGAGAATTTTTAGATACCTTTTGGGGACCCAAAACTTAGGGATTTGGTATCCTAGACATAACACTTATTATAAGATTATTAGTTTTTCTGACTCTGATTTTGTAGGATACAAGGTGGATAGAAAAAGCACTTCAGAAACTTGTCAATTCATAGGTCAATCTTTGGTCCCATGGTCTAGTAGGAAGCAAAATTCTGTTGCACTCTCCACTACTGAAGCTGAGTACATTGCTCTTGGAAGTTGTGTGGCCCAAGTCCTTTGGTTGAAACAATAGGTATTGGATTTAAGATTACCTGTAGGCACCATCTCAATATTTTGTGATAACACTAGTGCCATATGCATATCTAAGAATCCTATCCAACATTCAAGGACTAAGCACATTGACATTAGGCATCACTTTATTAGAGACCATGTGACTAAAGAAGACATTGAGTTACACCATGTGACAACTGAAAATCAACAAGCTGACATCTTTACTAAAACACTGGCCTTCGACACTTTCAGTTCTTTAAGGACTAGATTGGGTGTGATTAACATAAATGCATGAAATTGATCTTTTATTTGCTTTTTTTTGCTTATTGCTTTCTTTTCTTCTTTTTGTTTTACTCTTAGTTTTTGTTTGACTTGTTTTACTTTCTACCCTAAAAGAAAGTTTGAGATAAGGGTAACCATGATCGGATATTCTACCATTCTTTGGATTGTAGATGATGGTAACTGTTTAACTCACAAGTTTTTAAAAATCAATCACATGGAATGCTACATCATATTCATGCCTTGGGTTAAAAAAAAGGTCTTTTCATTTGCTTTCTTCGTTTCCTCCTCTTTTTGAGATGTCAAAAGGGGGAGTAGTTTAGAATGTTTGCTTACACTTTCGATTCCATATTTTACACTGTTGTTTTTTAAAATCATTGTCGTATTATTTTTCCATCATAAAAAGGAGGAGATTGTTACAAATTAAGTTTCATGGACTATGTTTTGATGATTGGAAAACATTCTTGTTTTTCTTTAACTGCCTGTTACTACTGATATTTGTAGGATTCAAAGATCGGACGAAAATCGAAATCAGCTCAAGACTGGGTAGATTAGGGTTGAGTCAGTCTGTAATTTTTTTTTTATTTTTTGAGTCAATTATAATTATTTGAAGTGACTGATGTTAAGTAACCTTACACACACACACTTGAAAGATTTAGAACTTGTGTTTTTACTCACATCGTCCTGGATGATATTTATATCGTCCTGGACGATCGACTTCAAAA